TCTCTCTCTCTTTCTGTGTGTGTAACATATATTTAAATTTACTGTGGAAAATTTCAGATATATACAGAAGGAAAATAATATAACAAATCTTCATATGCCTATCATCTAGTCTCAACAATGTCTATTTATGGCTCATCTTGTTTCATTTATATGCCCTACCTACTTTACTCTCTTCCCCTGTTCCATTCTCTTCCACCTCATGTTGTTATTTATTATTATTACTATTATTATTATTAAGGTACTGGGGATTGAACCCAGGACCTTGTGCATGCGAGGCAAACACTCCACCTATTGAACTATATCCCCAGCCCTACATCATGTTACTTTGAAGGCCATTTTGGATATTGTATCATTTTATCCATAAATATTTTGTTCTTATATCTTTAAGATAAGGACTTATTTTTAGATATAATCAAAACGTCATTACTACACCTAATGAATTAATAATTTGTTTATATCAACCTATATACAGTCAGTGTTGACAACAATCCACATCCACATGTGACAATCTCACATCCCTGAGATTGTCCCATCAATTTTTAAAATTGCCTGTTTGAATTAAAATTGAAATGAAGTTTCTACATTGCAATTAATTGACATATCTTTTAAGGTTTTTCTAATCTATTGGTTTTCCCATCAGTTTTTTTTCTTATAATTTCTTTGTGAAAGAAAGTAGGTCATTTGCTCTATAATTTCCCAACTGGATTTTGTGAATCACATCCCTATGGATTTCATTAATATATTTCTCTGTCCCCTATATTTCCTGTAAATTGGTAGATCGAGAGGGTTGATCTAGCTCGGGTTTGTTTCATTCTTGGCTAGTGGCATTGTGTATTTCTGTCATGAGGATATATCTGAATGCCTTTTGGCTTAGCAGCCATTGATTATTGTTGCCAAGATCTATTATTAATTCATTTAATGGTTGCAAAATGGTGATTTTCTAATTCTATCAGGCCTTCTTCAAGTATCAGAATACTATTACAAGAAAGTTTTCCTTTGTGAATGATGTGGTTAGTGTGAGGAATAGTTCTTAAAGGATTAAGTGCTTCATCTTTTCCGTTACCAGTTTTCAAAGTAATGAGTGGGTTTCCTAGCACTCCCCAAAGGTGATCATTTTAAAAATTTGAAATATAATTCACATACCATCAAAATAACATTTTAAAGTATACATACAAGCCACTAGTTTCTAGTACATTTAAAAAGTTGTGCAACTATCACTAGTTGATCATTTTTTGAAGTCTCATAAATTCATGAACATATCCATTCTTTAAATCCACAGCAATTATTGTTCTTTTGACATTCAAATTTTCTCAATGTTAGCCAGCTGGAGTCTTTAAACTGGCTCCTGAGACCTTTTGACACATTCCTAGTAAGCTTTGACTCTTTTTTCTCTTGCTTTCTGGTATGAGATGTTCCTGGCTCATCTTGTACTTTCTTGTTCCAGCCCAGGACTCATGTAATTTCTCCAAGGAGCCCTGGTTCCTTCAATGGAAAATTGTAGAGGCCCCCATCTGGGCACCAGGGGTGTTCCCTGCTGCTGCTCATTATTTCTAGACCTCAGTATTGATGTTTATTTCTTTACCAGAGCTAGTCTGTTAGCTATGTCCTGTGATTTATAATCCCTGAGGTAGAATTTGGCCATTCGTGATACTCAGGAATTAAACAATGTCTTATTTAGTTAATGAATCATATGAAAAATACTGCTTGAAAATCACCTAATTGTCAGTCATTATTTATTTTAAAATTACATTCCTTGGGGAAGGTGTACAGCTTAAAGACTCAGATTAAAAATTCTTAAAAATTCAACTGAATTCCAACAGAAGATACAACTTGCTCATGTTAAATATAATTTAGATATCAGACATAGTTAATTTTTATAGGGCAGGTTTAGATCAATAAAAATAGAGCCTTTCTAGGGGAAAGTAAATATTTTTTAACCTTTGGGATATAAAATAACGCATTACCTCAGCACTTTTTTCGTCAGACCCTGAATAAAAATAGAAAATAAAAAAGGGCTGGGGATGTTCTTCAGTGGTGAAGTGCCCTGGGTTCAATCCCCAGTGCCAAAACAAAAACAAAACAAAAAATAAAATAATGCATTATCATAATTTTATTCAGGGTCTGTATTTTCTCATAGACCAATAACTTATTGTTTCCTGTTTGGATTCCCATCACTGAGTGATGGGGATTGCAAATCGACAGCTTCTTTTCTGACTAATCTTTCTTTGGAAAAATGATTGAAAAGTCTTGTGTTGCTTCTGGCTCAAGCACCTATAAATATGTCAGAGATTTTTAGTTAAGTTATTAAAACACTGTCAAAACCTTGAGTAGATGCTTTTAACTATCTGATACACATTAACAGCTCTGAAGGAGCAAATAAATTTTAGCACACCATCAAAATTCTTTTGACTGCTTTGAAACCAGCTATTTTGTATTCATAGCATATGCTTTTGAACCGTTCTGCTCTCAATCTCCCTAGCTAAATTTTCCTTTTATTGTGTGTTTATTTAAGTGAGAAAATGAAAGCACTTAAGAATGTTGTTATTCTGCCATACAGCCTCCTTATTCAAGTACCCCAAAGGCATGCACTGAGGCTTTGTTATTTATTACCTACCCCCGGGACTCTGTAGGTCCCTAATACTGAAACCGTGATAGAAAGTATCTAGACCCAGGTAAACTGTAAGATGTCTGAACTTAATCAGTTAGTGCTTGATTGCCAAATACTTTCAGTGATCTTAGGTGGCCTCAAGGTCCAACTGTACTTTCATAAACTGTATAAATTATAGTACCAAATGATTTCTGTTGTTCACACTGCCTTTGCATTTTCACTTTATCATAATATTAAGTGTACTTCCAGTAATTTTTTTTAAATCACAGTTCTTTTAACACTCTGTTTAACAATGTTCTTTACTGTCTTCCATAAATGGATTTGAAGTACAAATTATTCCCCACCCCACCCCTTTTTGTGTAGGGTTCTGGGAATCAAACCCAGGGCCTTGCACATGCTAGGCAAGTGCTCTGCTACTGAGCTACTCCTTCAGTCATTCACTTTTTGTTTTGTTTTGTTTTTGTACTGGGGATTGAACTAAGGGGCAGTTTACCACTGAGCCACATCCCCAGCCCTTAGTCTTTATTTTGATATAGGGTCCCCCTAAGTTGCTGAGCCTGGCTTTGAATTTGCCATCCTCCTGCCTCAGCCTCCAAGCCACTGGGATTACAGGCATGCAACACCACAATGGCAAACACCACTTTAAACAAAGCAAAACATTTTTTCCCCTTAATTTAACCCGGGGCACTTGCCTACTTATACTCTCCTTATGTATAAAAAGTGATCACAGACTGGCATGGCACAAGCCTGTGGTTTCAGCTACTGGGGAGGTTGATGAGGAAGGATCTCTAGAGCCCAAGAGTTCAAGACCAGCTTGGTCAACACAATGAGATCTAATCTCTGAACACGTGTGCGCTTGTGCGCATGTGCATTTCTTTTGGCGGTGCCGATTGCCCCCAGGCTGATTTAGATTCCCAAACACGCCCCTGACAGGGATTCATTGTGTTGCCCCAGGCTACCTCCAAATCCTGCACTCTAGTGATCCTCCTGCCTCAGCTTTCCGCTTAGATGGGACTACAGGCACGTGCACCTCACCTGGCTTTCTTATTTTACTTGAAACAGTGTTACTTAGTTTTATTTACCTTTCTGTAACTAGAGACTATTGCAGCCTGAAGGAATTTCCTACAGTTAGGAAGATATGTTATCATTTATCACATCTGAAAGGAAATTTGATCACTAAAAAAAACCTCACTCAATCCCTGAGAGGAAAAAATGACCATTCCCAGAGATTTATTCTTATGCTTCTTTTGTTTTTCCTTTTTGAAAGCATTGTATGACTGTGAAGTATCTGAGAGAAGGGACAATTTACACCCTGGGAGTTTTTGAAAAAGCCTTGTGACAGGCTACTAAAATTCAAGCCTTCTCTGAATTTCAAGAGATTTCACGTCAGCATGTTACTTGCTTTCTAATTTTGTATTCTTTATTGTATAAAAATGCCTTTAGCATTTAGCGCTGTTTGCAGTACAGCACGAGGGATTCCAGATTAACATAGACTACACTTTTTCTTGGTAACATTTAAACATAGTCTCTGAGTCCCTAGTTCAGTATAGAAACAGTATAAACATTTTAAACTGGGGAAAACTTTACACATTTTTTAAAGTTGACAAATACTTTGTTCAATCACATACATTTTATCTCCAGTCCATCTCTTTCAACTTTTAAAAGGCTTGTTTAAGGAGTTAAAAAGAAATCCCTACCCTATTCTGCTACTTCCTAGATATATATGGAAGAATGTGGAAAATGCATTATTTATGAAACAATGATACCAGAATTGCATTCCATAGGTTCCCAAACTCTTGAAACACAGGTATATATAAAATATACCATTAAAAATTCCTACTTATTGCGATGTGCGAAACCCGTTTCAAAATGTAACCTATTCCTCACCCCCCCCCACCTAATAAAATCAGTTTGGCTCTCTGATTGAATGCTTATTTACTAAAAAATTAAAGAGCTTGGTAGTTGCTCTAGGGTAACCCTTCTCCCCCCTCGCCTTGCCCGCACACCCATTTTAGACTGGCAAGTCCATTTTTATTTTATTTCAAAGATTTTCTTTCCTTCTTTTTTTTAAAGGGAAGGCAGGGGACGTCGGGGGTTGCTAAATTTATCTTCTTCCCCAGCCGCGGGGATGAAGAAAACACATTTACTGCGGGCGGGGGTCTGAGGGCCTGCAAACAACTCGAGCTGGCGCCTCGGCCAGGACCAGCGCGGAGAGGCGGTAGGTCTCCCGGGAGGCCCCCGGGGGGCGGCCGCGGCCCACGAACAAGGTGGGGGGCGGCCCGGGCCGCCTGCCTCACCGCGGGTTCGGCGGACCGCGGCCCCGCGCGGGCTTTACGGCCAAGGCAGCGGCAGCGGCGCGTGTTTGGCGGCGGCGGGCGGGAGCGCGGAGGAGGTGGAAAGAAGGGGGGCGCTGTCACGGAGACTCAGGCCGCAGGAGACCCCGCGCAGCGAGGCCACTGGTCTCCCCGGTTGCGGGGCGTTAGCGGCGCCGACCCGGGGCGCCAGGGGGACCCACCGGGCGGAGGAGGGGGCCTATCTACCCTTCCGCATTTTCCTGGGTCTCTCTCCCGGGCGGTGACGTGACGTGCTGACGGCGGGCCCGTGCCGGGGAGCTGGGCCGCTTTTTGTCAGCTCCGAGCTCGGCCCCTCCTCCCTCCCTCCGCCCGCCCCACCAGCCGGAGCCCGGCCCAGTGCTCCAGAGAAAGGCCGGCCTGCAGCACCCGCCACCGTCGCCGACCGCCCGCACGCCCGTCCGGTGAGTCCCAGGCGCCGCCGCGGCCGTGGGGCCTAGTACGCGCGCGGCGGCCTGGTCTCGGCCTGGTCGGCGGCCCGCAAGGCGCCCTCCCGCGCTAGGCCGGGCGGCGTGGCGCGCGGCGCCGAGCAGGCCCCGAGGAGGCCGCAGTTAGGCCCGGGGAGGAGCCCGGCTGCCCCGAGCGGCGGCGGAGACGCTCTCCGTAAGCGGGCGGGGGTTGGGGGAGGTTTGCCCGGAGGTCCGGGAGGCGGCTGAGGGGTCTCGGGTGGGCGCCGCGGCCGACCCGGGGCACCGCACGGGGGCGAGGCCTGGCGAGGAGGCGAAGGCTGCAGGCGTGAGGTGAAGGCCGCAGGCCGGCCGGGCCGATTTTCGCTATGTAAATATCGGCGAGGGGGGGAGGGACGGGGGACAAGATGGCGGCGGCTCGGCGCCTGCTGCAGGGAACGACTGAGGGGGTTGTCGGGAGGGGGAGCCGCCATCTTGAAAGCGGTATCTGGAGAGAAAATTCCGCTATAGCCCGTGAGGGGGGGTGGGAGAGCGGGCGGCGGAGGCCGCGGTGCCGGTGACGGGCACCGGAGGCCGGGCGCGGCGGCGTGTGCGCGCGGAGGGGCGTGCTCGCTCCCTACGGCGGCCATTGCCCTCGCCGCCATGATGAGCGCTCTGGTTCCAGGCGCTCCGCCGCAGCGCCACCTTCCTGCCCTGCCTCCCGCAGCCCCGTGACTGGCTGCTGTTTCCGCTGCATTTCAGCTGAGCTGCCGCAGGCGGCCATCGCCCGGGCGCCGGAGCCATCTCTTTCTCTTCGCCCCTGGCCCCAGACATGGCTGTTTTATCTACCTGAGGGCTGCCGGGGTGGTTGGCTGCCTTAGGACTCCAGGAAATTTTGTTTTGGCTAAGTCAAGTCACACAAGGCTGAGAAGGTGACTTCGATGCGGTTGTTCACCGCTAATCATTGCCTTCTCGAGCATGTGAATAAAGAAATTCTAAATTGATGGGAAAGTTCTCACCACTCTTGACCAATAGTGAAAAAGTGCACAGCACGAAAGCGGAAGAGTAAGATTTTGAAGGAATCTTTTGTATTCATTTCTGTGGAAACAGTTTTCTTGAAAAGCTGCATTTAAGCTATTAGTGATGTTTGCAGTATTTTTTAAAGCTGAAGAATAAGAGCAGAACGTTTTTTCTTATTGAAGAACAGCATAACGTGGTGTAGTATTTAATTTCCCGTCAAGGTATTTAGATTTCTTTAGTTGCAAAGTTTGATGATGTTCTATCCCCTGAAGTACTTTTGATTGCGCAGTGTACAACTTTCCTGGTAAACTCAGAACCCCGTGTACACTGTGCTAGTTGCTAAGAAAAAAATTAAAATGTTTCTTGTACACGGTGGCTGCAAGAAGTTCGTTGTTCAGAGGCAGATGACACCAGGTGAAACGTACTAAGTGCTGCGGGGAAGGCATATTCGATTGATTCCTGGACTTGAAGAGAACGCAAGGTTTCTATTTGGAGCGTCAGGCAGGGAAGGGTTCCTAAAGTAGGTGGCATTTTGAGGTAACAAAGGTAGAACTTTGTTAGGGAGTCGAGGGGGTGGAGAAAGGACATTTCAAGGTTGAATCTGCCTCAGAAAACGGCTTTTACAGTTTGACTGAAGTAGATAGGGGAGTTGGTAGGAATCGGGCTAGAAAAGGTAGATTGCGGGGGCGCTTGCTTGCCAGGTGGCAGGACTTAGGCTCAGTGGGGGACGCGCCGGAGGAGCCCTCCACTAGTTCAGTGATGACACACTGGAGCTGCGCTCTATAGTCCGTTGGACTAGGACACGTTTCAAAGTTGAGAAATAACCAGTGTTAAGTCGATCAATGTTTTCACTATCAGGACGACTGCAGGGATGTTCAGGAATTAAGCAGATTTTGTCACTTTTTGAGTGATCTTTCTTTCTATCCTAATCTCTCACCCCGAGAAACCTTTTGCTCAGTTGTTAGAATTTCTGTGAAAAACAAAGAGGAGGTTCTACCATTTCATTTACCATGGTTGAAAATTACAGGACTAGGGCTGTGAGTTACTTTGGCCGAAATGAGAAATGACCCTGTAAGTGTTCTGAACGATAAAAATTTTAAGACACTTTTGAAAAAAGTAGGTTGAAAGAGTGGTTATTAAAAAGACAGTGGAAAATTAAATAAATAAATAAATATAAAGATAGTGGACTTCCAGATACCTTTTTTTAAAAAAAATATTTTTTTTAGTTGTAGATGGACACAATACCTTTATTTTATTTTTATGTGGTGCTGAGGATCGAACCCAATGCCCGCCACATGCGAAGCGAGTGCTCTACCACTGAGCTACAATCCCAGCCCTGCAGATGCCTTTTTGCAGTTTGTTTTTCCCCCGGTGAAAGTGGCCGCTGTTTTGTTTGAGAGGGTAACTAAGGCTGTTTGCTGAGCCAAGCCTTCCTGCTTGTGTTTTGATTAATATTTGACTAATTCACATGCACAGGTGGGGAATATGTTTACTAGAATTTTTTGTAGACCTATAAGTAGCCTAGGAATTGACTTTGAGTTTTTCCATTTTCCTAGATTGCAACAGGTGAGAGTAGTGATGCTCCATTAGAGGAGTGGAAGGACCCAGAGTCTCCAGTTTATCATAAGGGCCATGGTTTAGAAGCCTGAGGTACAGTGCATGGCATGAGGCTGACTTAGAAGCAGGTTGCTAAGGTGGGCTGTGGTTGTTGAGGTGCTAAAGGTAAACTTAAACTTAGAAAACCAATGGCTTTTATGTCTTAAGTGGGAAAGGCAGAGACGACCTATAAAAAACTTCTTTAAAAAAGCTTTAAAGAATCAGTTCTTTGTAAAGCTAGACAGTACAATAGTGAATGTTCCTGCTTAAGATTAAATTAGACTCACTTTGTATTATTAAGAAGACAAATGAGGGGCTGGGGATGTGGCTCAAGCGGTAGCGCCCTCCCCTGGCATGCGTGCGGCCCGAGTTCGATCCTCAGCACCACATACCAACAAAGATGTTGTGTCTGCCGAAAACTAAAAAAAATAAATAAATATTTAAAAAAAAAGACAAATGAGTGTATAGTTTAGTTTCCATCAGAAATGGTTAAGTGTAAAATTCTTTCTACCTGAAAGGGCAAACCTTGATAATCTGGAAAACCGACTATGGAACACCTTTTTAACCAACCATCTTAGATAAATGTGATGTTCGTTTTTAATTTTTTTCCCAGATAGATGCCAATTTCTATTTCAAAAGACGTGCTTACGCATGCTTTCAAAAACTTTTCCCCCTATTTTTTGTAAATGCTTACTCTCCAAACCCATTTACATGTGTGCTGTCACTGATTATCTTGTATTATTTGTGCACACTGGCAATTCCAAACTACTACTGCTATTACTACTTTTTCCCCCTTCTTAAACTCTTCAGTATGGCCCTTGAAATCCTTTACCCTCAGGAAAGATTACCTAATCTTTTACTTAACTGAGAACGATAAATGGCTATCTGATGTAAACAGTTGTTTCCCTTCCTTCCACTTGATGCTTCTCCTCTATCTCTACCTAGGCTTTCCTCCTTTTCTTTTGCCTCGGGAAGAACAGCTCTTCCTGGAGCCCTGCTGTGCTGCCCCCATCCTGGCCTGCCTCATTTGGGATGTTCTCTGTCAATACTGGTCTCTTGCATCTTTACCCTCTTTAACTCTGCGGGAGCCTTTCCCTCTCTTTATAAATATTCCTAAGTTTGCTCATACTTGCAAAACCCTCACCTGTCTTTTTTTTTTCTTTCACCAGTACTTTCATTTGTTTTCACCCCACTTATTCCTAAATCCAGTATTTCCCAAATTAGGAAATTTGCACAGCATCTTTTTTTAAACATTTATTTTTTAGTTGTAGTTAGACTTTTTTTTTTTTTTTAATTTATGTTTTATGTGGCACAGAGGATCGAACCCAGGGCCTCATACATGCTGGGCAAGTGTTCTACTGCTGAGCCACAAACCCAGCCCTTGCACAGCATCTTAATGACTGTCATATGAAAATGTTATGTTTCACAAACTGTGCCTTCTCTGTCTTCTATGGTGGTATTTCCCTCAAGGTCAATTCTCCACCCATTTTTCTCTGAAATCTTCTCCCCTAGTTTCAGTGTCCCTTACCATGCCCATCTTTTCTCCTAGTTTTTCATCTGAAATTGCGGTTGCTTACTGACTATATCCACACAGGTGTCTAAAGTGTCTCAACAGGGATGAATCCAAATTTATAGTAGATGCCCAATATTATTGATAGAAAAAAATATTTTTTCCACATGGAGCCCCTAAAACACGTGTTTGTTGTTTTCTTTCTGTTAATGGCACCATTATTTTTCGAGGCTCAGTCTTTCTTCTCTGTCTCAAGAACAATGTGGACATCTTTAGTTTAGCATTTAATCTAATGTATTTTACCTGTGTGTTTATATTTTTTCCTAAACTGAATATAGACAGCTTCTCATTTATCTTTGTCCATAAATGGTTCCTGGAATATGATCACTGTCTCCCAAAACAATTATCTCAATTATTGGGTGCAGAAAATTTTATGTAGTTGAATAATTTCTAGCTATTCAAAATAAATTATCTAGTCAATGTGTTCTTTGACCAAAGGGTATTCATATTAAGGCACACTTATCTTGTTAGGATAACAGGTCAAAACCAGGAGCTGTGTAACCCCATCCTCACCCCTTGTCGGATCGGAATATGGCCAGCCTCTCCTTATTCTTGTCAAATTGTTTATCCAAACAACATTTTATAAAATTTGGTTATTTTATAACTGTATTGTAATCAAAGGGAAATATAAGGAAACTGGATAGCCTTGAAATATACAGTCATTAGGCTTTTTAAAAATATGTTTTAAAAGTTTTGAATTATGAAACACTTAAAAATTATTGTAAAGCAAATGTCACCAGATTTAACAAATCTTAATATTTTGTGGTGTGTTTGCTTCATATTTTGTTTTAGTTTAATGGAATAAAATTTCACACATCTTTATCCCATTCCTGTCTTTGCCAGAAATAACCACTGTCCTAAAATGTATGTACCCAAACAAGTTATTGCTTTTGTGTGTATTAACTTTATGTAAGCTGTATCATACTGTGTGCCTCAATTTATGTATTATTTTCACTGAAGAGTGTTTTTGAGATATATCCATGTTATATGTGGATCTAGTTTATTGATTCTCAAAATGTGCTCCAGGGATTTTTGAAGCTCTTTTAACAGTCTTACAGAAGGTCCAGGAGATCAAAGTATTTTTTATAATAGTATTATTTGATTTTTTTACCCACATTCTCCTGTACATCATACAAGTACTGTGCAGAGGCTACATGACACATGATATAATAGATTGAATGCAGAAAAAGTTATGGTGATCCATCTGTTCTCTATTAAGCCACACATTAAAGAGATTTGCAAAAAAAAAATACTACTTTGTTTCTAAATATATTTTTTTGTTTTGAAAAATAGTTAAATTTTTAAATAAATACTTTGATGTTTATATATAGTATGCTTATTTTGTCAATTAGTTTTCTATATTTCTGTTTAAATTTCTAACATAATAAATCTCTATAGAGATGAACCACATGATACATTACTGTGGTCCTTAATTTTAAAGAGCTTAAAGGGGTCCTGAGACAAGACACAAGACAAGTTTGAAAATTACTGATCTAGTACATTGATATTACTTACTGAGGTTTATTTGTCTTTCTATAAGGGGAACATTAGGCTGTTTGCAGTTTTCAGCAATTTCAAACAGTGCTGTGGTGAATATCCTTATACGGGGTTCTCTCTTGGGATTGTATTAGAAGTAGAATTGCTACATTGAAGAAGTCTGTGCATTGTCAACTTTACTGGGACTTGCCAGAATGCCAAATTTTATTCCATTTGACACTCCCACCAGCTGTGTATGAGCCTGTTTCTCCAGATCACTGCCAAAAGATTAGATTTTGCAATTTTTTCCCCATCTGTTGGGTATAAATGCTATCTTTTTGCTGTTTTCATTTTGTATTTCTTAGATTACTATTGAGGTTGACCTTTTTTCCTCCACGTTTATTGGCCATTTGAGTGTTCTGTGAATTGCTCATGTGTATCCTTGGTTCATTTTTCTATTGGATTGTTGCTTTTTCTTACTGATTTGTAGATATTCTGGATACTAATGACTCACAGTTATATACACTGAAAATATCTTCGGAGTCGGTGGCTTATCTTTTAGCTTTGTTTAAGGAATGCTTTTTATGTAGAACAACAACAACTTCTTTTTTTTTTTTTTTTTAAATCATTTGTGGCTTGTGTTTTCCAGTGTCTTCAAGGAATTCTTCACTTACTCCAAGGTAATAATGATACTGTGCCTTTTAATATTTAGGTCATTAATTCTTCTGGAGTTTTTTCTCTATTGTGTGGTATAGGGATCTAATTTTGTCTTTTTCATATGGATTTATTGTGTAGTTTAGTCTTTCTTCCCAACTCCTAAGATGTACTGTATTCTCACATATACACATCTGTGTTTAGTTTATCTCTTCTCGTTTCATTGATCTGTTTGGCTATCTCTATACCACCCTGATTTAATAATGGTAGCTTTATAATTAAATCTTAATTTTTTTCAGGATTATTTTAGCTATTTTTCTCGCTTTGCTTATTTAGGGTTGTTTTTTTAGTTTCTATGAAAAATGGTTGGATTTTTATTGCATTTGCATCAAATTTATAGGATAAATATATAAATTCATATAGATATATTAAGTAGTAGAGTTGGTGTTTATATCTGGACATGTGTTGTTTTCGTAGAGTTCTTGCTCAACTCTCAATAGATTTTTTTTGCTAGGTACTATGTAATTTTGGTTATCGTTGTGAATAAGAGTTTCTTTTAGTGTTGGGGATTGAACCCAGGGTCTTGTACATGCTGTTCCTGAGCTGCACCCCAGCCCTGTAATTTCTATTTAATTTTTGCTGATGTATAAGGGACACTGTGTATCGATCATTTAATGTTGCTGAACTCCCATGACCATGTTTCATAGATACACTTTCCTCCCTACATTTTAATATCTCTGAAATAAAATCTCCAGTTGATGGTGCCCCGTAGTCACTGTTATCCAGGCAGCAGTTATCATTATTTGGGCATGCACTTGGTTAGGGCTCTTAATTTTGTCATCACTTTAAATTTAGAGTATGTCCATTGTCTCGTTTTATTTCATGCCAAACAATACAACTGAAGACAGATGAAATTGCTAAGTGGGTGTCTGCCTTGAGAGAAAATCCCATAGATATAATGGAGCATTTTAAGAAATGTTTCATCCCCCAACACTCTGGTTGGTGGAGGACAGTTTTGTTAGGAACAATTGGAGAGCTTTGAGTAGAAAGCAATCCATTCTAGGATGCTGAATGTGAAGTTTTAGGAATTCCCTACAAATTTCTTTGGCTTCTACTTTTCTTTTATATATGTACAAAGTATGATAAATTCTGTTTAAATTTGAATTGTCTTGATATGTCTAAAATGAAAATCCTAGATAATAAGGGAACAATAGTATCAGAAAAATTAATGTGTTTTTTCCTTAGTTGTATAAAATATAAGGGCTTATTTTACAGTTGGTGGTATCTTTAGATTCAGTGAAATGTGGGAGTAATATCAACTTATAATTCTTTTGTATTTTCTATGTAGTTATGTCTGTGAATAATAGTTTTATTTTTTCCTTTCCCATTCCTTTTTGTCTCCCATTTCTTGTTTATTGACTAACACCTTAAATAAAATGTTAAGTAGAGCACTGATAATGAGCATCCTTGCTTAGGGATGCTTCTAATGTTTTGTCATTACATATGATATTATAGTGAACTTATTTTTTGGGGGGTAGAAATATATTTTTTTAAAAGTCAGGTTCTCTTCTGTTTAGCATTTTAAAGTTTTTATCATGAACAGTAGTTGAACTTTTCTAAAGCTTTTAATCTATTGTTATGATGAAGTATATTAATAGATTTTCTATTTTAAACTATCTTTGGATTCCCTGAATATTTGCATACTTTGGTTATTGAATATACTTTTCCTTTTTCATGTAGTCTTTGTGGGGTTCTTTTTTCTTTTTTTTTTTTTTGGTGCCCATAATGGGGATTGAACTCAGGGGTATTCTACCACTGAGGTACACCCTCAGCTTTTAATTTTTTATCATTATTTTTTAAAATTTTGAGACAGGATCTAAGTTGCCCAGGCTGGTCTTGAACTTGCGGTGCTCCTGTCTCATCCTCCCAAGTAAATAGGATTATAGGTGTGCACCACTATGCTGGCTTCTTTGTGTTGGTTTTGATAACAAGGTTATGTTGTTAATCTCATGAGTCTTTTTTTTTTTTTTTTTTTTTTTTTGAGATGGGGGCTCACTATGTTGTCTTTGCTGGCCCCAAACACCTGGGTTTAATTGATCCTCCTGCCTTAGCCTCTCTACAGATATATGCCACTGTGCTCAGCTAATCTCATAGATGAATTGGGAGGTATTCCCTCTTTTCTGAAACAGGTCCGTTTAATACAGATAATCTGTTTATTGAACATTAGATAGAACCCATCTGTGATACTGTTTATACTTGGTTTCTTTTTTGTGAGTAGATATTTTTGGTTTTGATTTATTGATATATTTTTTTTTGCTTCCATGGGATATCTTTATGGCTTTTTGTGTTTTTTTTTTGTCATTTATACAGAGTGAACAATTTCCTAGAAAATTATGCAATTTCAAGGATATTGGTATAAACTATAGGTTTCCTTGATTAAATTTTAAAAATTTAATTTCATTAATTTGTTCATTTTTTCTGATTAGTATTGCCAGCAATTGCCTGTATTTATTATATTTTTCAAATAGTTCTTTTTATTGGTTCTTTGTATTTCTGCTCTTATGGTTAAAACTTATTTCCTTCTGCTTCATTTAAATTTATTCTGACATTTAAAAAATGTGGCTAGGTGTGGTAGCCCACTCCTGTAATCTCTGTGATTTGGGAGGTTGAGGCAGGAGGATCACACGTTTGAGGCCAGACCCAGCAGTTTAGTGAGACCCTTTCTTAAATAAAAAAATAAAAAGCACTGGGATATAGCTCAGTGGTAGAGCATTCCTGGGTTCAATCCCTAGAATTGTCTCCCCCCCAAAAAAAAGGCTTATTTCATTAATTATTTAATCTGTATTTTTGTGCTATGTACATTTAAAAATGACTGATAGGCAAAAATCAATTGTATTTTTACTAATAACAGACAATTTGAAAATCAAATTTACAAACTAGTAAAATTTATAATAAGGTCAAAGAATTTCTCTGATATGAATCCAACAAAGCATACCAGGACTTTTAATAAAAATATTACTAAGGGAAAGGAAACAAGACCTCAGTTAATGGGAACAGAGATGATGCTTGTGGACTAGAAGTGTCATTGGTGTAAAGATGTCAGTTCTTGGGGCTGGGGTTGCAGCTCAGTGGTAGAGAGCACTCGTCTAGCATGTGCGAGGCCCTGGGTTGATCTTCAGCACCACATAAAAATGAATAAAATAAAGGTATTGTGTCCAACTACAACTAAAAAATAAATATTAAAAAAATGTCAATTCTCCTTGAATTGATAGATTCTTTGCAGTTCCAATCAAAATCCCAACAGGATAGCAGGTACTGCCTTTTCTTTTCTTCTCTCTTCTCTCTCTCTCTCTCTTTTTTTTTTTTTTTCTTTTCTTGGATAGACCATTTCTCAAATTTAGGTGGAAATGCACAGGGTCAAATATGTCAAAGGCAATCCTGAAACAAATGTTGGAAGACTCATACTACTGTTTATCAAAGCTTATTAAAGCAGCAGGTACAAAGCCATATTGACAAATGGAATAGAATGAAGTCTGAAAGCATTTCTATATATGTAAGGTCAGTTAATTTATAATAAAAATGTATGTAGGTTTTGATAGAGGTTAATTAAAATGAGCCATGTGCTGTGGTGCATACTTGTAATCCAGCAGCTTAGGAGGCTGAGGCAGAAGGATCAAGAGTTCAAAGCCAGCCTTAGCAATTTAGCAAGGCCCAACGCAACTCAGTGAGACCCTTTCTCTAAATAAAATACAAAATAAGGCTGGGGATGTGGCTCAGTGGTTGAGTGCCCCTAGGGTCAATCTCCAGGACCAAAAAAAAAAAAAAAAGACAGAAAATAAATACCATTGATCTAACATATTCAAAAGCAAGCTTGGTTTCTCAGCAGAGGGATTTTTCATTCTTAAATATTATATAAGAAAACTTCTATCTTCAAGCATATTATTATTTTTTTTGGTCCCAGGGATTGAATTCAGGGGCACTTTCTCACTGAGTTGCTTGCTTAGCCCTTTGCTTCTGCTGAGGCTGGCTTTGAACTCGAGATCCTCCAGCCTCTCTAGCTGCTGGTATTACAGGTGTGTGCCACCGTGCCCAGCCAAGTATATTAATTTTGTATTAGCATGTTTTGTGAATTCATATTGGTATTTTTCAGTTAACTGTTTTGAATTTCCTAGATATATGTAAATAAGTGTAATTTCTTTCTTTTTTTTTTTTTAAAGAGAGAGAGAGAGAGAGAGAGAGAGAGAATTTTTAATATTTATTTTTAGTTTTCGGTGGACACAACATCTCTGTTTGTATGTGGTGCTGGGGATTGAACCCGGGTAGCTCACATGCCAGGCGATCGCGCTACCGCTTGAGCCACATCCCCAGCCCTGTAATTTCTTTCTAATGATAATTATGTCTTGCATTTTATTTCCTTACCTTAATTGCTTTGGTTATCAGTTCTCATACAATCCCTTTGCTCCAGCACTGGGGATTGGATCCAGGGGCACTCTACCACTGAGCCACACCTTTAGTCCTTTTAATTTTTGTTCTATTTTGTTTTGTTTTACAGTGCTGGGGATGGAACCCAGTGCCTCACACTTGCCCCGCAAGCACACAGTCACTGAGCCACACCTCTTTTATTTTTTATTTTGAGACAGGGTCTTACCGAGTTGCCCAGGCCTCGAACTAGGGATCTGCCTGTCTTAGCTGGGATTACAGGCATGTCCTACCATGCCCGGAAAGTTCTCATACAATCTTAAATAATAATGGCATTCTTCTTAATTTTGGCTTTGGAGGGACTACTTCTAGTGTTTTACCATAGTGTTTAATGTCTTTTTATTATAAAGTGTAATGACAGAATTCCCATATCCCAGAACACATGTTCTAACATGACCTGGTTTAAGATTGCATATACTTATGCATTTTAAAAACAGATTTATTGAGATAAAGCTGTGTTATTAAATTTGCCCTTTAAAATGTACAATTTAGTGGTTTTTATTAGATTAATAGTTGTGCAACCATCACCACTAATTTTAGAACATTT